GGAGTGGGGTGCCATTGCCTTCTCCGAGTTTAGTCACTAAGTCATGTCAACTCTTGCGACCCCGTTGACTATAGCCTTCTAGACTCCTCCATCCAGAGGATTCGCCAGGCAAGAATACTGGAGTGGGTTGCCATTTGAAAACCATAATTCACAAACACATGCACCCTAGTGTTCATTTCAGCACTATTTACCACGGCTAGGACTTGGAAGCAACCTAGATATCCACTGAAAGATAAATGGATAAAGAAGATGAGGTACATATATACAATAGACTATTACTCAGCCATGAAAAGCAACCCACCCGGGTCATCTGTAGAGATGTGGACAGACCTAGAGACTGTTATACAGAGTGAAGTCAGTCAGAGACAGAAAGGCAAATATCATATGTTTACACGTAGATGTGGAATTGATAAAGAATGGTGAACCATTTGCAGGGCAGGAATAGAGATGCAGATGCAGAGAAGGGATGTGTGGACACTGGTAGGAGGGGAAGAGGTGTGAAATGAATTGGGAGATGAGGACGGACAGATCTGCATGACTCCGTATAAAATAGCTGGTGGGAAGCTCAGCTTGGTGCTCGGATGACCTAGAGGGGTGGGATCGGGGATGGAGGGAGGTCCAAGAAGTTGTATACATATGGCTGATGCATTTCGTCATACGGCAGAAAGTAACACTGTAAAGCAACTACACCTGAATAACAACAGTAATAGAGCCTGGATTTATTTACTCTTAAACACCCCCTTCCTACTTTCTACTGTGTAGAAATACTGGAAAATGTATCTCGGAGCTAGAAATCCCTGAGTTTTATAACCCTTACACTGTTCTTGTCTGGCTAAGTTCTGCTGATCTTTCAGCCACCTTCCCTGCTACCCCCTCTGTAAATCCATCCTTAGAATAGACTTAAGGTCTCCTCCATTTTCCCACTGATCTCTCTGAAATTCTCTATTGCACCATAATTCCACATTGAATTATCACCTTACCATTGTCTTCCACAAATCTGGACCCCTCTCTGTATGTTTCATGGTATTTCCATTGTTAGGCATAAGCCCTGTGTCTCATCAAACACGTCTTACCAGACTCAAGAATAATATGGCTTAAAGTGGGACATAGTCTAAAAAATAAATTATTAGTCAAAAACTTTTGTTTTGGTGCCCAATCCCACTACCACCTAAGGCCAATGTACTAAGTTTTCTTGGTCTTAATTTCAAATCTACAAAATTAGAAGAATAATTATTGTTTACTATAGAGGATGGATGAGAAGATTAAAGGACATATAACCTATCTAAAGTATTAATAGGTAAAACACTTTATCAAATACAATGTATTAATTAGGATTTATTTTATCATCTTTAAGATTGTAGTATCACTGTATATATCATATAATCCTATAAATATCCCTAATAGGTAGGTACCCACTATATACCCATGGTCAAATAGTTTCATTAACTTACCTACAGTCACATGAATAAAAGCAGTGAGTCTGAACCCAGGGCTCAGATGCCTGAGCTCACACTGTTAGCCACTGAGCTCAAAAGTCTCTGAACATCATGTCCACTAAGTTTCAGCACTGATGTGACACCTGTTTCCAGTCTTTCTTCTCTCAGCTGTAACAGCAGCAATTTACCACTGTAGATGTCTAAGGAATGTTCAACTTGATTCTGTCTGCTGCTTTTACAGAGCAATTCCAGGGTCTAAGCCTTGTAATGCAAGGTCAGAAAGCTGTTAAAGTCTCTGATGTCAAGAAGAGTGGCATCCTTTAGGCCATGAGCCACGGAATTGGAGTCAGATGTCCTGAAGTCAAATCCCAGATCAGTTGGTAAGTAATACATCCTTGCAGAGCAGCTTCCTCTCTTGGAAACTTCATTTCTTAGATCTTTTTTACTCATTGCAAAATCTGTACAACCCCCCCCCCCCTTTTTTTAACTGGGGAGATTAAATGACTTAAACACGTGTGAGAACACCTTGCAAGTTATACTGAAACAGAGATAAGTAATTACTTTTCCAAGGATGCAAGGTCTCCTCCGAGCAAACTATTTAATGTGTACCTATATGCGTGCAAAGTCAGCAGAGTCTATTTCCTCAGCATTATGACTAACCAAAGGTCCAGACTGATAGAAGAGGTTAGAAAAGCTTCATTAGGATGGTGGTTCAAGTCTGAGAGTATAGACAAAGCAGGAACGTTGAGGAAGGAAAGTGACATCATTCCACCTAACAGAAAGTATTGGGTTGGTCAGAAAGTTTGTTTGGATTTTCTGTAACATCTGAATGAAAGTTTTGGCTACTTCAATACAATCCCCTCTTGGAAATTTCCCAGGTATGCAAGTAGGATGTTCTAAGAGAGATAGGGTACATTCGATTCAGACAAATAACAAACTTACTTGAAACTTACCAAAATGTTAAGTATATCCATCTGAGACTATTTGAATACAGGGGTTTGTTCTGAGTCTGTGGTTCACTCCACATAGTTACAACCCTGGGTATCTGCTAAAGAATTTGCATCTGTGATATCCATGACAGTTCCACTAAGTCATCACCCTGCTACACCAGGGATGTAACTTAGGAAAGAGTAACAGAAATGTATCATCAATAGGAGAATGGAACAGCCTTAAACACAGAATCAAGATGGGCAGTCAGAAAGTCCAATTCTCACACCTCTGAACTGAAAGTCAGAGCAGTGCTGTTCCAGCTTTACGAACGTGGGGAAATGGGTTTTCAAGTGATTTTACAAAGAAAAGAGAGGATACTAAATAGGTACGTCAGTGGTCTCCTGATTAATCACAGGATAAAAAGCAGAACTCAGATCTGAGCAGCCCCCTAGCAAGGATGGAAAAAATTTACCTGAGCTTTAAAAAAAAAGAGTAACTAAAAGGTATTTCCTATTTTTAGTGTTTTTTTCAGTATGTAGCTTGGAGCTCCTTTAAAAGGAGCGAGAACAGCCAAGGAAGGTAAGGGGCTGCAGTTTAGTGAGCAGTCATTACCTTGAGAGGTAGGAACAGCTGGGAAGGTTTTGGCAAATGGAAATGTGAGCTTCTTGTAATTTTACTCCCTCCTCTGTTACATGCTCACCTCATAGATAGGAAGTTTTGGACATCATTCCTATTTCTGTCCAACTTCCGGAAAGGCAGCAATGAACTTACACCTTAGCTACAGATGGGTAAACCAAATTGATAAACCTGAAACTTGCAAAGCTTAGCAGGGTGTGATCCAGGAGGCCAAATGCGTCTTTCAAAGCCTTGGGCTCTGGCAAATTTTTATGTATTTTTTTCAACTTCAGGATGTCCCAAGAGCTAGTTCCCCTGCTTTTGAGCCTTTTTATTTAAGTCCTTGCATGTTTGATGTCTTTGGACACAATCTAGCTCTGCCCTCCTAAGAAGAAGGGTCTAAGAGGTGAGGATTGAGGTGAATTGTGCATTAGGTGCCTTTGAATTTGTGAAAGACTCCTAGGCTGGTTCTTGTACAATGTGGTAGAAGAAAGTAGGGATGGGTTTGTGAAGAAAGAGCTGAACACAGGCTCTGTAGACTCATTACCACAAAAGGAACAGGATGCAGAGTGGAGGAGGGTTTGCAAGAGGCCATGATTTTCAGGCAAGGTTGCCTGGATTCTGCCTCAAACTTGATTTTTGAAGGATGATGCATTTAGAAGCTTATGTGTAATTGACCATGACCTCAATTTTGAACAGGTAGAGTTGCTTCCATAAATCCATCCCAAGAGAGAAAAACACGGTGACTATTCCAGAGAAGTTTGTTCTGAGGTCTGCTTAGTTGAGATTTTGAATAAAACTTCTGCTTTTTGGTTTGCCTTTTGCCAAGTGCAGATACTTAAACACTGGAATGTTTCCAGGTGCCCAACTAAAGGACATCAGTCTACAGAACTGAGCAGATAACACAAGAGCCCAACATAACACGGCTTACAAGCAACTCCTCCCCAACAGCCAACTAGCAGAGCCTTTTCTTCCATTTTTCTCAAATCCCATAGAGCAGAAAGTGAAAACCACTGGATACTAACAAATCCTCTTATGGAGATAGCTATCAAAGTCTGTTCAAACCATCTGTTTCTCTTTCGTGTTTTTTTTTTTTTTTTTTGCTAACAACAATCTATTCTAAACTAACCAAGATGTTATGGCTGAAAATGCCAGAGGTATACAGATCTAGCTGATAAGAGAAATTGCTTTCTAAAGAGGAGTTTGGTTTATCTTATGTGGAGGAAGGCAACATTTCTACAAACACCATAGTTGCACTAGGAAAATAACCAGCTACTTTCATTAAAAAAGTATGAGGCAAGATTTGTATTTGTTCATGTAATTGAATTTAATGCTGCTGAAATTTGTCAGATCTGAAAGCTACTGAAGTGTAGACTATTTTTTTCTTTGAGAAAAATTGCTAAAGAAACTGTCTCTCGGCTATAGGGCAGGTGTCCTGCTGATGCTGAAAGGTCACAAATCAGTTATTCTCTGCATTTTTCATAATGTGTAAAACCAAAGAGTACCCCCAGGAGGATATGTTTTTCTTTTGAGAGGAGGGTTCTGCGAGACAGTGACTCATTGTGGAGAGACCCTACTGATAGTGGTGCTATTGGTGAAGAACCAGTGCAGGAGACCTTACAGACACAGGTTAGATCCCTGGGTCTGGAAGATCCCCTGGAGGAGGAAACGGCAACCCACGCCAGTATTCTCGCCTGGAGAATCCCATGGGCAGAGGAGCCTGGTGGGCTACAGTCTGTGGGGTCCCAAGAGAGAAACATGACCAAAGCAATTTAGCACAGCTACTGATACACTGATTTTGGTATCTGCTAGCAAGCCAAGTCACCGACATCTGGACAACAGTCTACAAGTGGAAAGCCAACAGGTTTGCAATTGCTCTTTCCCCCTTAACAGTCATGTAGCTTACAGTCTCCCCCACATACCTCTATGTCACACTATCTTAATAACTTCAGATTTTCTGCAGAAGTTCCATTTCATACTTAAGATCTCATTAACATGCCATCCTTCTCTGTCTCTTACCTGGGTTCACCTTGGTTGATGGACATGTAAATTTCCCAGGAATTCTCCTCTGGGATGGCGCCATGTGGTATCAGTAAACTCACCCCTGAAACAGAAAAAGCCAAGAAGTTACTTGTAGATTCTCCAGTTATCCAGAAGCACCTCACAGCAATTTATAGGAGTTTTACAAAGTCCAAAATAAGAAAATATTGTTTCCTTCAGTGACATACAGAAAGGCATATCATTCAAGTGTATACTTAGATTTTTACTTAAAGTCTTCCTAATGTAAATCGATACAGCTATTATGGACCACAGTATGGAGGTGCCTCAGAAAACTAAATTAGCGCTATCATAAAATCCAGCAATCTCACTCCTGGGCAGATGTCCAGAGGAAACTGTAATTCAAAAAGATACCTGCACTCCTATGTTCAGAGCAGCACTATAGACAGTAGCCAAGACTTGGAACCACTCTAATGGGCATCAATAGATGAACAGATAAAGAAGATGTGGGGTGTGTGCACACACACTGGAATATTACTCAGCCATAAAAAATCAAATAGTGCCATGTACAGAAATATGTATGGACCTAGACATTATTATACTAAGAAAAGTGAGAGAAAGAGAAACATATGGTATCACTTATATGTGGAAGCTAATACATGGTACAAACTGACTTACCTGCAAAACAAACAGACTCACAGACATAGAGAACAGATGTGTGGTTGCTAAGGGGGAATGGGGCAGGGAAGGATGATTTAGGATTAACAAATGCAAACTTATGCATAGAATGGATAAATAACAAGGTCCTACTGAATAGAACAGGGAACTACATTCACTATGCTGGGCTAAGCCCTAATGAAAAAGAATGTATGTGTATGTGTATATATATAAACACACAGGGCAATCTCTTTGCCGTTCAGCAGAACTTGACACGAACACTGTAAATAGAAATTTCAATAACTAAAGCCTTCCTGGCATTGTAAACAGTCTCTTATTTATAAGATTAGGTATCTTGACACCCGGCACTATCATACGTATCTGAGACTAAGAATTTCAGTGTATCAGTTAGTCGGCTCTAAAATTTAAAAGGCATTTCTCTGCCTTGTTTCTATCCATTCATTTCCTGAAAAGGTATCTAGGATGATGAGTGAGCCATTTAACATTTTTGCTAGAGCCTGGTGTGTAACTGTCTTCTAAAGGGTGCATCTTAAAGTCAGCTTAGGGAGGTGACTGACGGAGCAGTGTATTTTGTCAAGAGAACTGAAGGAGGGGGAACTTGTGTGGCCACTATCTGGCTCCATATTTCCAAACAGAAGCTAGAAAAGATTACGGCTAAAGGTGACTTAGCCGTGTTCATATCAATGTCCAATTGAAAGAAAACTCAGGAGCCGCACTTCAGGAACATCATGTAACGAAGGTGGGGTGGGCACGGGAAGGCACCTCATGCCACGCTGGGAAATTCCTCTCTTTTCTCCTGAATGCTATGCAGTAAATATTTTACTTTGGCCAAAAGGGAAGCGTCTAGAGCGGGCAGAGAGTCTCTTTAAAGTAGCTTCTTGCTTATAAAAAGAAATAGAGACACAGTTGAGATCTTGACAAAGTAAAATCTCAGGGTATCCTTCTATCCTTTGAATAATGCAGCACTCACCTTTTCTTCTTTCATTACAGCTAATGTAATTATACAGGAAGCTTTCACACTGCTGCTGATAAATTTAAATCTAGAGATGGCAGGCTTTACTGATATCCTTTTGTGTTCCTGTTCGCTGCTATAGAATCAAGAAATGGAAGACTCATGGCAAAACAAGTTGTGTGGTTCACATTCATGAACATTTTTCAGTGACACATTAGTTATCATCAGTATCTTTCACTAAAAATGAGGCCCATTTAAATCTTGCTCACAGCTTTTCAGCTAGGGTATCTATTTATATTCCGGACCCTAATGTCAACAGTAGAACAGTAATTGCCATATTCAGTGGCCTCTGATCAGTCTCCTCCTCTAATTGCCCATCCTTCCTTAAATGGAGCTGCCAAATGAAGTGGGCTCCATTACATCCTTCCCTGCTGGGGAGCAGAAATGATTACACGCGTGATATTCAGCATGCGCAAATGTCAAACCGAATACCCAACCCTAGACATTCTGTATTCTGAGTTTGCCATCGCACTTTCTGTTGCCTCTGTTTTAGACTATGATGATAATGGAGACATTTAGACCTTATTTAGAGATACAGCACAGTAAGTCACCATCAAGAAATAATGCCATCTTAGCAATTAACCCAAAAGAGTTCTGTTGTGCTCCCATTTTTCTCTTTTCCCTGATTAAGGTATAATTCACATGCTTAAGTTATACAAATTAACAACAAACTTTGGGGCAAGTGTATATGCTCATGTTACCATCACAATCAAGACAGAACATTTCCACTGCCACAAAAAGCACCCTTGCACCCTTCAGTAGTCAGTTTGAATGCCAACCCAGATGATCATTTCTTTGTTTTCTGACATGTTGATTAGTTTGTCTTTTCTAAATTTTCGAATAAAATCATACAGTGTGTTAAACATACACACACTAATGGTTTGTTACATCTGTAACACGTGGCACAATGCCTGGCAGAGAGTAAGCTCTCAGAAAATAAACATGAATATATGAATAAATGAACAGGATTGAAAACTTTCAGTAAAAAGGAAAAAACAACCAGCAGCCAGGCTTTGGGATGTGCAGTCTTCTGCAGATCATCAGGGCCTGACAGTCCACTCCCAAATCGAACCAGAATAAACATGTGTGTGGACTTTTGAGAAAGGGCTGTTTGCAGAGCAGATCATATCGCATTCCTTTCAAGTCAGCTTAATTCCTTGTGTTTAGATACAAACATTATTCATAATACACCAAAATTCAACCTGAATGTGTAGGATCACTGGAGCTTTAAACGATCCCGTCCTTTCCTTCTATCAGAACTTGTATAATGATCCTTTAAACATATTTACCTCCCCCAATTTAATTATCTAAATTGTATGTGGAACCTGAAGATGGTCAAATACCAGAGGCAAAGGTCATGGGAGCTGATGGTGCTGGTGGCAAGTTATATTTTATGAAGAATGATGGCTATGTAGGAACTCTTCACACTTGTGGTCCCCTAAAGATGTATCCATTTCCAACATGTCATTCACAAGTTATTTCTGATTAAAGAATATACTCTCCCCCAAACTCTATCTATCCTGAGAGCCTTTTATTTGATAAGACAACAGAACCACCTGAGTTTTTTGGTTCCTATTTTGCATAATAAATAATTTTTAGAGTGTGGGGACTGCTGCCAACCTTTCTCACAAACCATTGCCAGGCACCCCACAATAACTTGGGATGGATAGCATGAGAACAATTTAATTTCTGTGCCTCACTTCTTTATACTTTAGCTCCCCAGGGCATATTTTACATTTATGTTCTGCAAATAACAGAGCATATGTTTCAATTCCCTGCACTTATTTTTCCTCAAATTCATTCCCAGTGAACAGCTTCAGTCTGGTCTAGGGCTTCTCATGCAGAGTTCTGAAAACGCCCCTTCACAGAGTTGTTTAGGAATCATAGATAACGCTACTGGAACTTTGGGGTGTCAACCTAAATGCTTCTCAAGTCAGAAGGGAAGCAAGAAAAAAATCTGCCATCATTATTTCATTTCATGTTCTATGATGAACATTAAACATAGGTGATAAATGGATGGATCTCAGCAATCCCTCCACAGATGTGTAAATGTACACACACACAGAGATGAGGATGGGAAAGACAAGTGTGGACCAATCTACTCAACCAGAAACTATTCAGAGCCACCTAAGTGGCAACCATTAGGTAAGAAAGTAGAAAAAATATAAAAGTACAAAAACTCAACATGCAAATTCATAATTCCGATGTATACACATACTCTTCTCTTCAAAAGGGCAGGGTCTGCATCTTTTCCTTTTCTAGATCCCACATGCGCAATTTACAGATTCTTATTCCATGGGGTCACAAAAGAGTTGGACATGACTCAGCAACTAAACAAGAAATGAAGCCGCTCAGTCGTGTCTGATTCTTTGCGATCCCATGGACTGTAGCCTGCCAGTCTCCTCTGTCCATGGGATTTTCCAGGCAATAATACTGGAGTGGGTAACCACTTCCCTCTCCAGGGGATCTTCCCAACCCAGGGATCGAACCCGGGTCTCCCACATTGCAGGCAGACTGCTTACTATCTGAGCTGCCACGGAAGTAAACAAGAAGAAGGGTACCTGGTAAATACGGCCACCTGCTCCCTATACATGGACCCCCTATCTGTCATATCTCACCAGGAGGAGGGCATCATACATATATATAAAAAGATTCTTACCACGTCCTACTCATCAAGGAAGATCTAGAGAATTGCAAATTTAGAATACATCATTATTGGGTCTGCATTGGAGGGCTATTTCCCTGAAATTAAGTTTTTATCGAAGCAAAGGATATAGGAAAACCAATCATCAACTTGGAACAAACGGCAGGCACAAGTCACTAATCTACTTAGAAGGTCAGGCAGTAGAATAGTAGTGCCTGGCTAGTCCTACTACAGAATTCACTGTACAAGATAAAATGCTTGATAATTTAGGTGGGTTTGTTCTACCCTACAGAGAAATCTGCTAAGGCCCTGCTGATCCCAGCTCAATGCTATCCAGTTCTTTAACAACAATGGCAGATCTGGTATTTTCCCTTTCCTCTCAGCTGACAGTGATGATTTAGAGCGCTCCCTAAATCTTATTGCTCAAAAACTGGGGGTGGGGATTGTTCTCTTCCTCCATGCCAGGTCTTAGATGGCAGCTCTGAAGACTAACGCATAGGTAGAGTCAAAGTTACCTGGGCCGTACACGTCGAAACAACACGAAAATCTTCCAACCAAAAGGAAGAAAACACTCTTAAGCACTCTTGAGAACTATATAGCCAAGGAGCTGAGCTTGAATTCAAAACAGCAACCCCAAAAGGAACCCCCATCACTGCTCATCATAAAGCAACATGATAGTAAGGGTGATGGACGCTGACTGTATTCATTAGGTCAGTTACTGAGGACGTTTGAGTGTGAGTGTCATTTCACTAATCTAGCAACTTGCTTGTAAACCATGCTTCACTATAAACATGGTATTCGGCAGTCATATCAAAGTATCTTTTCAATGCTTCCTGATCCTGTTCTACGAAATATATTTCCAGGGGGCTTAAACTCTAGGGACCACCCAAACCTTCTGAGCCAGCATGCCTGTCAGCCCTAACAGGGCATCTGATGGCGTGTATGGTCCATGCTGAGATGCAAAATGTAATGTCAGCGCTGCTTCTGGTTGCCGTGTAAATCAAGCCAACTTTCGGAGCCATGGTCGCGTTCACTCTGACACCGGAAGAGTCAACATCTTAAAAATGGATCTTACAGGACATCGTCATGTAAATATAATACGTTCAAACAAACATGAGAAGATACACAAACGCACACTTACCACCCACCTGTATTTGGCATTACTAAGCGTCCTCCCAAATGGCCAAAGACACCCGTGGTCCTCAGTTCGGTCCGTGTAGGGAGTGATGACAGGTTCTGGATGTAGGGCGTCTTACTTCTGGGATGTACTGTCGTGAAGCTGCGGTTGTTTCCATGGGGGAAAGTCCCGGAATGATTCTTGCCGTGGTACTCGGCTCGCTCGGACACTCCCAGGGAGACCATGAACGAGCTCTGCACTTTGACTTTGATGTCCGACAAAGGGTTAAAGAGTGAGGACTCTGTCATGAGCTCCTTGTCCAGGGGGTCCTGTAGACAGATGGGCCCGCTGTAGGTTCGGCTCACTGTCAGGTCTGGTTGCATGGAGGGGTTCAAGAGCAGGGAGTTACCTGGTCGGAGAAGATGGATCTGTCACTCAGAAGCTGTAAGGCATCCCAGTTACTCCTTCACATCTGCTCCTACAAACTACCCAGCATGTGCTCACCAGCTGCCCAGGTCACGGTTGACCCCTCAGACCCACCTGGGCATCTAAAGTATCTCTAACAGGCTGATCAATAGCATCCCGAGCCTGGGAATCAGGAGCTCTGGCTTTTGCAGTCAATTCCCTGAATGCCGCCCACCTAACTCATCCTTTTCTCGAGTTCTTTATGTGCTATCTTTTCAAAACAAGTATTTCTGGCACTCCACCAGGCAACTTACTCAGGTATGATTGTTTACGGGATTATTTTAACTGGCAAAGAGAAGCTTCTAAAAAAAATAAAAGAGGAAAGAAAGATGTTTTGCAATCCAGTTTGGAGCAAAAATAACATCTGTTCCGTTTAAATGGCAAAGAGATGACACAGCATGATGACGAGGTGGTGCTGTTTATAACCGAGATGGCGTGGGTGCCAACACGTCTCCCGTGGAATTCTGGGCAGTTTCTGGGGGAGGAAATGTTGTGTCCTCAGAGCAAAAGGGTCAGGGGGCATCACGAACCGCTCCATGTCTGAGCAGCCAATTCGCTCTAATAATACGGATGTCACTCTGAGAGGCACAGAGGGTCCCAGCTTCCACAAAGGCAGCAGCTGAGAATGGCTTCTTTCTTACTCAAAACACATGGAGAAAAATAATCCTTACAAAAACATGAGAAATTGGACTTTCTCATCGGCTGGGACTTACCAATTTTTTTGCTATGCCCAAATATTAAAAAGAAATGCTGTGATATTTTCTTGTGATGAAGTAATCTCATTTATTAGTAAATACAAAATAACCCTCAGTTCCAAACTTTCTGCCCATATCAGTCCATCAATGTGACATCTCAAATTGAAACCCAAACCATATTAAACCATTTTCCTTTGGGGCCTGACAAAACTGTTTCACATGTGATATTTTGGAAAATGTTGCAATTTCAGGCCATATCCTATTAGCTTCTATTGTTTTTCCATTTTCATAATTTGTAACAACACCAGCAGGAAATCTATAACCCTGACTTTCCCCACCTCTTTGTTCTAATGCTGTAAGAATCCCAAACCACAGAGGAGCAGGTTCAAAATGAGATGAAATACCTTATAGATATAAAAGCACCTTGATGAGGCATTTTTTCCATGTTTGAGGATCTTTTTATATTATAAGGAGCTGAGCTTTTTAACAGAACTGCACTGAACTCTACAGATACCAGCCTTACTCTGGGTTATGAAGCAAGCAGCAGGATGGAAGGACCATCTCACATTTGAAGAGTTTGGAGCAGAAGTTTCCACTGATACCTTAAAAAGCATCTCTCTGAGTCTCATGGCTGTTTTCTCTCAAGCCCTCATCTTCTAATGTTTAATTTCTGGCTACTGTTAGAAGACCCTGCTATCTTATGTAAAGTCAAGAAGCAAAGACATTTCCTAGAGTTAGACTTAAGTCTTAATTGCCTATCACTATATACACACACACACACGCGTGTGTGTGTGTATATATATATGAAAAATATATGAAAAATACACACACACACATATACACATATAAACTTGGTGGCCAACTTGATTTAAGTCTGATTGAAGATAATCCCCCAGTGACCTCAAGTTTCTCTCTGGATGTCCTTTTCAAGGCCCTGATCTACTCTATGTATGACATTCTATTAAGTCTCACTGTTCTCCCTGCTGGGGCTCCAACCATATTTGCTCAAGAAGGGATGTCATGAAGACAACAGGGCATCCATGTAAGGCATAGCCTCACCGTGAATATAGGGGAGAATAGAATTTGGATAAGGGGCTACTGTTGGTATCACTAGTTTTGTGAGTTCTTGGTTAAAGAAAATGGTAAAATTAAGTTTGGAAAGGCTACATACTCTCAGAGATTTGCAGTATAAGCTTCCTACATTCTGAGATGCCTTGGGGTAGATATGTATCAGCTTATCCAAGTCAGCCTTCCCTAGACGCTCAGATCAGGGAACAGGCCCTCTCACCCACTACCGCGTGCTCTGCGGAACTCACTGGGGTCCTCCGTGACTGTATGAGGAGACAGCCAGCCTCTAGAAGGATACTCTCTACATCGACTGAGTACTTTACTTAAGCCAAGGTATTACAAGCCATATCATTCCAGGTGGTTTCACCCTCACAAGCCCCCGCCCTGAGATAGATGTTAGTATGTCCATTTTACAGCTGTAAAAACTGAGACAGAGAATAACTGAATTACTAGATTTTACAGCAATTTTTGGATTCAAATCTGACTTCAGAGCCTCTGAATTTACACACGAAGCTGCCACTCACACTCCTGTGTATTCTGTTTTTAACGGGTAAGGTCTGAGACAGTGATATCTTATGATGAGATGGAGATACAGTTCTAGTTTCTTACACAGTTGCAAGACCAGTTCATTGGATGAACTTCTAATTAAATCATGTATACTGGAACTTCCCTGGTGGCTCAGTGGTAAAGAATCTGCCTGCCAATGCAGGAGACAGGAGTTTGATCCCTGGTCTTGGAAAATCCCACGCTGTAGAACAATCAAGCCTGTGAGCCAGAACTATTGAGTCTGTGCTCTAGAGCCCGTGAGCGGCAGTCACTGAAGCCAGAAGGCCCTAGAGCTCATGCTCTGCCACAGGAGAAGCGACCACAATGAGAAGCTCGGGCACCACAACTTGAGAATAGCCTCCACTTGCTGCAACTAGAAAAAAAAGTCTGCACACAGCAGTGAAGACCCAGCGCAGCCAAAGTAAGTCACATAGACTAAGCTCTAGACCCACATTGAGGTGATGTGTTCTTATCTGAGATCAACCAGACTTAGACCGGAAGCCAAGGTGCTGGAAATTCGAAGTGTTAGTCGCTTAATTGTATCCAACTCTGGGACCCCATGCCCTGTAGCCCACCAGGCTCCTGTGTCCGTGAGACCCCCCAGGCAAGAATACTGGAGTGGGTTGCCAGGCCCTTCTACAAGGGGATCTTCCCAACCCAGGGATCGAAACTCAGTCCCCCGCATAGAAGGCAGATTCTTTACCATCTGAGCCACAAGGTGTCAAAAGTGACTGGTAAGCAGTCAAGTCGCCTGTCTCTCCCACCATCTCCCCATTCTAGCCTGCTTGGGTTTCCGTTGCACCAGCCTGTCCCTAACTCCATCACTGCCAAGCAGTAAGACTTCTTGTCCTGTACTGTAGGCATTACTGACAGGCAATCAACAGAAACAGAAGGGACAATACTGACCACGAGAGTCAAGGTAGAAAACTTCATCCATGGAAGGGAGACAGTTCCATCGTTTTCTAAAATAAAAGCCATTTATGTCTCATCCCCATCTCCCAATCAGGAACACAGTTAGTTGGTAGAAGAAAATCAAATGACTCTTCTGTTTTAAAAATGAAATAGTGCTATTGTTTGACATGATGAATTTTCCTTCCCCTACAACAGAAGACTGCTTCAAGGTGGCAAAGGCAGAGAGTCCTTTAGGCTGAGAATTTCATTTTTTCTCTGGTTAACCGGCCCATCATACATCCTCTACAATCCTTTTACTTATTTAAAATAGAAATAACTCCACTGAATAAAATAACTCCATCTAATTAATAGTGTAATAAATATGCCTGGTAGAGTCATTGGTTCGTAGCTTTGAATACTCAATATTTTAGTTAACTAAATATACATTCCCAAAGCAGGCTGGTTAAAATAGAAAGTTGGGTGACCTGAGACACTGACTACATATCAAAGATGGACATGCCATATTTAAAATGTGGGTAATGGTAAATTGAGGAGCTTCCATGGTGACTTAGTGGTAAAGCATTTGCTTGCAATGCAGGAGACTCAGGTTCCAACCCTGGGTTGGAAAGATCCCCGAGAGAAGGAAATGTTAATGCACTCCAGTATTCTTGCCTGGGAGATCTCATGGACGGAGGAGCCTGGTGGGGTACAGTCCACAGGGATGCAGAACAGTCAGACACAACTGAGCAATTAAACAACAATAGTAAATTGAGACCCATTGGTCCTCACGGCAGCCAAGAACTCAGACAGACTCCTCCATCAAACCTGGCATCCTAAGGTGTGAAGACAATTTTGGAGCAGCTCCCAGTGCCAAGAGCCACCCTCACACAGGACCACAGAACACAAGGGTCCTGCATGAGTGCAGTCTACGGTCCTGAGGACACGCTGTTGGGGGCCCTACGCCGCTGACCTTGACGGACTGTTTTGAAGTTGAAGGTCTGGAAGCCACCTGTCAATGCAGAAGAGTCGATGACGTCCACACCATAGTCACTCTGGCTGCGTCTGTACAGGGTGATGCCGATGACCAGCACTGCAACGGCTACCACCGCGGCACCCAAGCCTGAGTACAAGGCGATGTCACTGGCATTCTCGATGCCTGAAAGACACAAGAGCAATCCTAAGTGGCCAACATGGGCACAGAGCCAAAGAGCCACCCCGGGACACAGAATGAAACACTATTGGAATTTTTGGAGCTACGGATCAGGCGAAATGATAGATGTGGCTAGTCGCGAGTTGGACTCTCCAACAATAATCATGTTTCTAGAAGACCTTGTATAAATCAAAGGGATGCTAGTTAAATAACTTAACTGCATTAAGGTAGCTTACCATGTAATGGAATCTGCAACAGAAGCAATTTTGCAAAGAATATAAGAGTTTTCAAGGAAAAACAGGCAACTGCTTAATTTGCTTGTTTTAGGAAGTCTTATTGCCCTGCAAAGTTTTTTTTTTTTTAATATACATATATATATTTTATTTTTGTTGGAAGACATGAGACCCACGTACAATGACAAAATATGGGTGAACCGCTCTGCTTGTCTATGGCCTGGGCGCATGCATTCACGGGGAGCATTCTCGGGTGATAAGGCATGGTCTATGAGTCAAGAGACCAGAGCTCAGGAGTAAGACCTTGAGCTTTGGCCCACGTCGCTCACTCCATCAGAATGCTGACAGTCATCAGGGTATTTACAATCATTATGAGCGACTTTCTGTTGTGAGATATGAAAAGCACTCGGTCCCAGGCACCCTTATGTTCATGGTCAATGTTTTCCGGCACCAGCTGAATGCTTGACTCTGTAAGTTTTTTTTTTGTGGAAGAGGACTGGTCTCTAAGAGGGTACATGCTGTTTCTCCCATACCTCTCCTACTCCATCCTATTGAACGCATGGGCAAAGCAAAAATAAAAGCGTTAGTTTGAAATTTAGATGGTGGGTGTCTCCCCATCCCCCAAGATAACACTGTAGCTGCTTTCCAATCCTTTTGCTAGAGGTCCTCAGGGTGTGGTTGATTCCTGAGGAGCCTCGGAATGGCTAGTGCAATTCGGCATGACATCTACCCAAGAACATGTAAGTCTTGAAGTGTGTTAACAATGGAAGGTGGCAAGTTTTCACTACATAACTGATCTCCTTACAGATTATGTGGTAGGCATACTAAACAGGTCCAAAAGTAATTACTCTGTCACCCCTGCTGGGTTTAGCAGATAAAATAAACCCATCATATATTTACCTTGTAATTGCATAGCACTTAGCCTACGTTCACCGCACCCTAATATGGTACTTACGTTATCAAGTGAGTAAGACTTAACCACACTACTGAATTTATTTTCAACAAAGTTAGTGGACTATAAAATAAGGTGCCACCAAATGAAAGCAGGAACAAGGAAATCAAGCAGAACCAGTTCAGTAATAGGGCGGCCAACACATAAAAATAATTCATGGGGGGAGAAAAACACCGTCATCTCAAAGAACAGTATTGGAAAGGTCAGAGGGTGATCAGATGCTTTTCATAACAGCAACCTGGGAGGTGTTGAGAAACTGTGTGACCCTCCACCTTCTAGGCTGTAGTTCAGCCTCATGGTGGTCCGAATGGGGGAGGGCTAGGGATGGTGGGGTATCAGTGGTGGTCTTCCCCAGCCCCCCAGATCCACAGGGGTGAAGACTGATGCCACCACCGAAGTTCCAGGGTCCACCTAGGTCATGTGGGGAGAAAGAAGGGGAGTCATCACCCCATTCAGTCTCACCCTCCTTCTACTCAATTAAGTTCCTTGGAGGGAAACATTAGAGGAGAGAGCAGACAGCCCACAACAGGCGCAGCAAGCCAGGCTGCCAGGAGCAGGGAGAGAACTGGACTGAAACCAATGGCCTGCCCCCGTCTTCCTTCCAGCTCCTTAGGCACAGCTCACTGATGGCAACAGCATCTTAAAAGGTGTGTCTGGGGAGAAGACACCTGCTCGGCAACGGAACACACAGAGAAAGAGCCTGGCCGTGTCCTGCATGCAGCCGCTCTGTCACCGAGCTGGCAAAGTAGATGCAAAGACATCTTTAGCTTCCCAGGTATGAAAATAGGAAGGACTAGGAGCCAGAGCATGACCAGCGTAAAAGTACTTCTGCTGAAAATGGACCTCACTGGACGTGAAATCCTGACACCAAACTCAGTAGCAGGAACACGCTGTCTTTGTTCCTCTGGATTCCTATCTTGCTGTTTATGGCATCCACTCTCTTGCTACCCAGGTAACCAGAATTCTCTGTTCTTAAGATACAAGTTCTGTTTTAGGAAAGGACCCTCCACCTTCAGACGAAGGTATCAACATTGGATATAGCTCATTGTGTTTGCTCTCCCAGGAATATGTGAAGAACCTCTTAATAAATACTGAATTATAGAATGTTTAGAAATGAATATGGGGACTTTGGGGTTAGGGTAGGGAAAGAAGGGAGAGAGACTTGGACAGGGATCACTGCTTCCCTAGGAGGCTCACCCTAGCACCTGGTGGGACAGTTTGACCTAGACTCAGAAGTCCATGGGATTCACTTTTACAAGAACAACTTGTCCTGGGAATTTGAAGTTTCTGCATCTAATGATCTCATTCATTCAACATACACTTGTGACCGGTCAACTGCTCAGAGGAAATGAGGACATCTGGTTGAATTAACATGTGGTCCACATTCTCCGTTGTTTCTTGTCTAAAAGACAAGGTTGTGATGGGACCCCGGTATTCAAGTGCAGCTACAGAGGCAGACACAAATCCTCAAGGCCACACGTGCGCATCTCAAAAGATCTCATCAGTCGTCCTTAGAGCTCAGTCTTCTAAAGTTGAGTCACCTACTTCCTTCTTCTTCCTCTTTTTCTCTTCTCCAGTTACCTGCTTTTACTTCATCTTATTCTTCCTTTTTTCCCCCCTGCCCCACCATTTGCTAATCTTTTTTTCTCCAGGACAGTAGAGGAGGTTTCCCTGTAAGATTCCTGTGTCCTTACAAATGTAATTGATTCCCTTTTCATCTGTGTCCAGGACTGGCCCCAGCAGAACCTGGGGTTTAGGCTGGATGTATGTGTCTGCGAGCACATGGAAACTTGGAAGGGTGCTACAGCAGGGCCCCTCCACATGTGCACACGTGTATGTGTGCTCACTCTCAGCTCTCATTGGAAGGACACCAGAAGTCACTGCTTCCACCTGCTAGCCAAAGGCCCTGTGTCCCTTTCAGATTATAACGACGGGTCCTTGTCATATACGCCCCCCATCCCTCTAGTCATCTAGGCCCTACCCACCTCTATCTACCCATCTGTCAGCGCAGGGCCCCCTCCTCTGAGACAGCTGGACCGTGCCTTGGCTAGTCCACCAACCTTGCCAACCCCTGGTTCTCTAAACTCTGACATCACTTATGGTTCCTAGAACTCTTTTTGGATCTTTGGATGGTTAATGACCTGAACGCCAAGGCATCCTACCTGCTTGACATTCGGCACAAGCACTTCTCTGTCATTTCCCCCAGAAATGTGTGAGTCATCCTGCGCAACTATTTGCTGATTGCTCCCTGGACTCAGACTAGCCTGAGAGAGACTGCAGAACTCCTGCCACAGAGACCCTCTTTTCCTTACAGCTACACACGCACATTTACATCTGTCTGCTCACTCGTACATCTGGGGCTGGTTTGTTTTCTCCAGCTCATTCTGAACAAAAAGCTTTGATCAGGCTATTCTGCCTTTGTGGGCATAGGGTGTTTTTTTTTTTTTTCTTTCTGGATTTCTGTTGTACATATCTATGTGTGATTGATGTCTTTCCTGGGTTTCCACCCATTTCCTCTCTCCAAGCACCGTGAAAGCTTTAGGCCAAGTTTAGAAGGACGTGACATGTGGTATAAAAAATTGTGCATGATCTATAGGCTAAAGAAAACAAAAATAAAAAAGACAGGGAAACCTCTTATATTGCAAATTAGTCAGAAACTACAGAGGGATCTGTTCATTGCTGGAAGGAGTGTGAAATATCTACAGAGAAAGGCTGCAAAGATTAATAGTTGGAAACTAGGACCCTGGAAAGGAAATGTTTATGGGTTCATTTGGCCTGGAGAAAAGAGAACTATAAAGTGGCTTGTGGGGATCTTTAATGCATAAAGCGTGGTTCTAAAAAGAAGCTCACAGTAGGTGCCCAATGAACCTTCATTTATGATGAAGCTAGTAACCAGCTCGTCACCCACTCTAACAAGGGCTGAAGTGGAGAACCTGGCCTTTTATTATAGCAATTGGGACTCTGTTAGATATTAAAATGACCTTGTCTACAAGGAGGATTGTTAAAAAAAAAAAACAACTGCGCTGTATTTCTGAGGAAACTTGTGAAATCTCCTCTAGTTTCTCAAAACCAGCATGACTTGACAACAGTCTGCAGTTATTATACTTTTGGTCAAAGATGGTGAGAAAGGCTAAGTGACTTTTCAAAGTCCTTTCGAACTTCAGAGTTCAAGGACTAAGTATTCACAAGATCCTGTACTTATGAATTATAATCATACCTAGTCATTCATAGTGACTTATGTGCCCCAAGGACTAAATTTAAGGGCTGTTTATTTAGTTTACCTTCCTCTCTTCACAGGACTGTCATTTAAAAGACATATTAATGCCACTTATTCATGGAAATTTAGCTCAATTCCCATATTATGAGTTTAATGATCAGATTAGAATCTATTTTATAGGATTAGATAGCTACACAAAATGAATAAAGGAGCACAAGAAAATGCCTTTCAAAACATACAGTTAGAGAATGTGGACTGACATATACACATGGCTAGATTTAAAACAGGCCAACAAAGACCTACTGTATAGCACAGGGAACTCTGCTCAATGTCTTGTTAACAACGGAAATGAGAAAAGAATTTGAAAAGAACAGATGCATGCATATGCATAACTGAATCACTTCGAGGTACACCTGAAACTATCACAATGATGTTAATCAGCTATATTGCACTATAAAAGAAGAAGTCAAGAAAAACATACGGTATTCTGTTTTTATCTTATTAGATACTGTAGAATGACCACTGCTCTTATTTTAGGAGGAAAAAACTCAGCGACTTGACTTGATGTATATAAGGCAGTGAATTACAAGGAATTCACACAACAGAGATTCACAAAGAGAAGGCTGAGACAGACAAAAGGAGTGGAAGACAGAAGAATTAGCTGCTCCGCTGGACTCCCAGGAAACAGCCCAGTCTGTAGCCCAGCCCCTCCTCATTCTGGCCCAGAGGTACAGACAGGGCTGTCTGAGGGCTATAGACATTGAGGGATGTGCCAAAACATTTAACTGCAAGCAAACACATAACAGAAGTTATTGTTCGAACTGTTCATACTTGTCATTGAGAAACCATATTTTTTCTTGAAAAAAAGATATCAGAAAATAGCTTTTAAGTGGTCAGCTCTGGTCAACCATGGTGAGCAGTTCTGATGATACTTGCATTGCCTGGAATCTCATAATCCCATCACCAGTTGGCATCTTGACTTTTCCACCTTGCCATCCTCCAAAACCTCCTCGTTGTCATTAACAACAACAGCTGCACATTCTTCAATAGCACCGTATGCCAGGCACTGTTCTAGTCTTTTATTTACACTGATTAACTCATTTTAATCCTTCCAACAAACTTGTAAAAAGGCGCCCATTTAAATATCTAAACTGAGGCCAGAAAATCACTTGTCATGCCCAAAGCCTCATGACTGGTAAGTAGCAGAGCTGGGATTCACTCTGAGGCAGCCTGACTCCAGAATCGATTCCCCGGCTCACTGCCTATCCCAGTGTGAACCTCTGCCCTGGTCGCACCGCCTGATGCTGAAAGCGGGCAGAAGCCCCCGTGTCCTTGTCTGCAGTAAGAGGCCGACTCAGAAGTTAACCACTGGGAAACGT